ACGAAAATGCTTTCATCATTTTCATAACCATCTTCAGACCAAGTTATGTACCTTTTAATGGATGGAACCATATTCTCTTTATATTTTGTTGAAGTAAAAATATAGCAATGCTTACAAGTTGTAATTTAGAGGTTACAAGATTTGATAAAAACCTATTGGCTGTTAAGAATAAGGTTTCAGGTAACAAATTAAGTTTGTAGTGAACTTCAATATTTTAGGATTGTTTCATCCTGTTAATCACATGATATAAATAGAAATCAATTATATAATTAGTTAATGAATCCCCTTCCTTCCCTTAAGAAAAATATAAATCACACACATTTGAAATTTCAAAAAAGAGTCGAGTTATAAACCCTTATTGTTTCCCTATATTTTTTACTTCAATACAGACTATTTCTTCGAAATTCTTTTTCTTTATAACTGAGCTTTTATCCTTTAGAGGATCCAATTTATAAATATTTAAATTAATTTATACAAAAGCCACTTTTCAATATATTCAATCACTTTTAGTAGCTTGCGTAATTTTTCTTTGACTTCTTGAATAAAAACTTTTGCTTGAATCTATATGCAATTATGTACAATGGATTATATTTGTTTTTGGATCATTCATTGATTAATTATCAGTAATTATTAAAAAAATTTTCTTGATTGTATAATATGTTCTCAAGTTTGAAAAATTTTTTTTACAAAAGATCTATTCATACCCAAATATTTATTTCTTCGACATGAGCTTTTTACCTTCTCTAAGGCAACCCTTTGTTCTTTGTTGCTGGTTTAAATAATTTGTTGACATTTATATGAAAAGGATATGAAAAGGTAAATCACTAAAATTTTAGATTTAATAATGTAGTATGTAATGTAAGTTCAGAATTATTAAATTAATGATTCTTGATTCTTTAAATCTTTAAAAAGTCTAGTAATAAAATAACATAGATAGATACCTCTAAGAAAACTTAAAGTGTTATGCATGCAATTATAACAAACATAATAATAATGTAATTGCTATTAGAAGCATAAAATTTTTTTAACTTCAATGACTGAAAAATTATCAAATTCAGAGTATAACTATGATGTAAAAATTCATGCTGGTAATTTTTTTTATATAATTAATTGCTGCCTGTCATGGTGCACTCGCATTACATATGGAAACCCAAGGTTTCACTAATAAATTTGTAATTTTTTTGGTTGCCAAAAATAAAATAATTTTTAAGGGACTTTTTATTCATTTTGGGATTTTTTATTTAATTATAATAATAATGAATTCAACAATATTGGAAAAGTATTTCAATGAAAATGAAAGATTTTTAAATACAGAAGAGAATAGTGATGTAAAAATTAATGTTGGTGTAAAACCAAATGTTAAAGAAATTCATGCCCATTCATTCATTCTACAAGTTCATTGTCCATTCTTTAGAAATGCTTTAACCAATGCAACAAAAAAAAATGGATATTATATTATTGAAAAATTAAATATCAGTGAATCAATTTTTAAACCTATTCTAAAGTAAGTGATTACAAAATTATTATTGAATTAATTAATTAATTTTTTAATTTAATATATAATTAATAATTATAATAATATTTTATTTGCTTTAAAAGATTTTTATATACTTGTAAAATTGAATTAGACCATTTCACTGGAGTCAATATTTTGGAAATATTAATTGCAGCTGGTGAACTTGGTCTTGAGTCACTTTATGAACATACAATGGATTATTTTGTTGATAAACATGAAGATTATATAAAAGAAAATCTAATTAAAATTCTTAAATTAATTTATTCAAGCAAAGAAACTTTTAATGAACTTAAAAATACTTATTTAGAAAAATTTTGTAATTATAGTGAAGAGTTATTTCAGTCAAGTGAATTTGAATCATTGGAAAAACCAATTCTATTGGAAATTCTCAAAGGAGATGACTTTTCTGTTGATGAGATAGTTATTTGGGAAAATATTATTAAATGGGGGTTAGCAAGACATCCAGAGATCAATAATAATAATGTTGAATATTGGTCTTTGCAAAATTTTGCAGATTTTGAAACAACAATAAAAGAATTTATTCCTTTAATTAGGTACCGGGATATTTCTAATAAGGATTTTAGTCATAAAATTTCACCATATCAAATGCTTTTTCCTAGAACTTCATGGAAAATTATTTTAGATTATTATCTAATTCCTGATGAACAGCCAACTTCAACTTTACTACTACCATCAAGAAATCCAATAATTGACTCAGCAACAATTAACCAAAAGCTTACATTGCTTTTTGCAAGTTGGATTGATCGAAAAACCCCACCATATACTTCACTTGGAGATGTTAATTACAAATTTAAAATTTTATATCGTAGTAATAGAGATGGTTCAAATGCATTTACTTTTCATCAAAAATGTGATAATATAAAAAAAACACTTGTAGTTGGCAAAATACAAAATTCAGATCAATTAATAGGAGGATATAATCCACTTGATTGGAATGGAAATGGGATTAATAAAAATACATCTGAAAGTTTTATATTTAATATTAGTAATAGAAAAGATATTAATACTGCAATGTTTAGTTATCCTATTAATAGTAGTCGTGCAATTTATTGTAGTACTAGTTGTTTGGCTGTTTTTCAAGATTTCTGGTTTAATCCACAAAGTGCTGGTGGTAATATTGGTGGTAGTGGGTCATATGCTTATAATAACATCAATATACCACATGGTAGTAAATATGATGAATTAGAGGTTTTTCAAGTAATTGATAAAAACCAAAATCAAGGCTTTAGTTTTCGGTAGAATTATTAAGTTATGCACAATTCTTTTCTTTTTATTAATAATGTACCATTTGTAATTTTAATTTATCCTCCCAAAAAAGTAAATAACAAATAAATCATTGATGCAATATTATTAACTGAATAATTTAATGATGTTGAAAAATAAGATAAATATGTTATGAAATTAAACTCTTGCTCATTCATCAATTTTACAACTCGTTCCTTATACTTTAAAGAATCCAATTAAACAAAATTGCATTCTTGCAAAAACAAATATGAGCAAATTGATTTTTTAAAGCAAGCTTGGCAAAAAATTTAAAAATTTTATATTCTTGTAAAAACACCTTAAGATTTAAACGGAATGTATGAACTTGTTCCAATTTCTATCATCCAAAACATTCAATCTAGTAAATAAAATAATAAATAAAATATTATTAAATGATACAAAATACAAGTATTCCTTTCTTCTTCTTTCTTAAATGATTCTCTTTCCTCCTTCAAGTCTTTCTAATAATTTATGTTTTTGCCTAATTTATTTCAAGGAACAAAACTGCATATTTTTCTAATATTTAATAATGTCATCCGAAACCGTTTAATATCTCATGATTTTATTAAGTTAAACACGGGTATGTTTCTAAGGTAAGAGATTCTACATCTTAATTTGCATTATTGTCTCAAAAATGGCCAAAAAAATTTAGACCGATTTCTTAGATGACTACCGATCTACTTGATTTTTTTGCCTACAGAAACATAGGGAGGGGGATAAGAGGAATAAGTTACTTAGCCCAAAGCGAAATTCACCCAAAGCACGATATGCCAGCTCGAATAAATCCGGAAAATTAAGTTAAAAATTCATTATTCATCTAAGATAACTCAGCCAATGAGAATACTTTAAGAATACTCGAGGATTTATTCAACGAACAAATAGACAGAACAAAACAAAAGAAGGGTCCGATCAAGATGAGGTTCACATACACACGATGGCGGCAAATTAGTAATTCTTGTTTAATAACATTTGATATACTTTTTCAGCCAGTGAATTTATAACGTCATGCAAAATTATAAATGTGCATGATCGCTAAAGTTGTTCCACAACTTTTTGACTCATATATATAGAGTAATAGTACAATCAATTCTTTTTCTTAAAAATTTCACTGGCCAAGAAACTACATACAATCAATTTGTGAAACCTGCTATAAAATGTCTTTGAAAAAACATGGTTCTATCGACGCCTGGAGCCAAATCGCCCATCCAGACTTTATCAAAGGTGTTCCAGAAGTATCTCGTCTTTTGCTTCAATCAAAAACGCCTTTAGCTTGGTCGGAAAAGGGACTCACTCCCGAACAGACAATTCAACTGATGGATAAAGCTGGTGTAGAAAAAATATGTTTAAGTGCCTGGTATAGACCC